GAGCAAAGATTTTGATATATTTTTTCCTCTTTTCACATTACAATGACTTCTCTCTTTATTTTGCAAAGTGGGTGATTGCAGAAAATTGGAAATGTTCTTGGGTGCTATTCTTCCCTTTAAAAAAGGGTACCCATGGGTTTAAATGGGCACCCAGCTTTAATGCCTGCAAAAATTCTATAATTTTATTTTACATAAATTCTACATCTCAAAGAATCTCAAAGAATACAAAATGTATATGCATATACAACTTTATTTTATTATTGCTCAATGGCTCAGATAGTAGTTATAATGATCATAAATATCTCTTGCACCAGTATTAGCACCTGTGTAGTGAAAAACCTTATTTCACACACTAAATACTACATAGATATGTTAGCTCAAGCCTTACCTGAAAACTAGGCAGGGTCGCTGCACAGGTGGATTACTTCATAGGTGATGCCAGGAATAGGAGTGAAGAACGAGAAGGGCATGATGGTTAATTTTACATGTCAACCTCACTGAGCCATGTGATGCCCAGATATCAGATGGAACAATATTCTTGGTGTTTCTTTGAGGGTGATCTGAGATGGGAGTAACATTTAAATCAGTAGACTGAGTAAAGCAGATTGCCTTCCCCAATGTGGACTGGCCTCATTCAATCAGTTGAAGGCCTGAATAAAACAAAAAGGCTAGCCCTCTCCCAAGTAAGAGAGAATTACCCCTCCTTGACTTGCTTTTGAACAAGGATATCAGCTTTAGCCTGCCTTTAGACCCAAACTGAAACATTGGCTTTCCCTGGGTAGAGAGCCAGCTTTTCCACCCTGAAGAATCACCTGAGCCTTATAATAAATGTACAGTCTCTCTCTCTCTCTTTCTCTCTCTCTCCCTCTCCCTCTCTCTCTCCCCTTCCCCCCTCCCTCCCTCCCTCCTTCCGGAGAATCTAATACAGAGGATAAAAGAGAGAAGGGAGAGAAGCCTATATAAAGACATCGTTAAGTTGTAAAACAATGTGGATAACAGGTACTCAATCAATTGCAGAGATACAGGATGTCTCTCAGAAGTGTCCTCCCGCAGTTCTGAGATGCTCACCAATGTCAGGCGTGCTCACATAGTCATCCCAAAACCTAAGTCAGAGAAGCTCCAGGGCAGGAAACAAAAGACCAACATACACACTGTCAGCATAAAGTTTGTCCAATCCCGTGTAAAACTATTGGCTAAAATCAGGGGTGAGGCAGAAAGCATACAGGGTGGTGCCCAAGAGGAATCCAGTGTGATCTATGCCTTAAATCACTCTGATTAATTAAAGCAATTAAGTTAGTCCAATTGGCATTAAGTCTTCAAGGTGGTGGCCAGACTCAACATATAGAAAGAACTTAACATATAAGGGATAGTGGAACCTACAAAAATTAATTATCTATGCCCGTACAATAATCAATTAAAAATAAAAAAATTTAATTGGATGTTCACTTTTGCAATAAAACCTATAAAGTATCTAGAAACTAACAACTATCTATTTAATCTCTATGGAGAAAATATTCAAACACTAGGGTAGGATACAGAAGATGATCTGAATTAATGGAAAGACACCCCATGCTCTTGAAAAATATGACTCAAATTAACCTATATATTTAAAGAAATCCTACACAAAGTATTTTGAGGGACTTGATAAACTTGCTATAAAAATTATTTGAATGATACAGGTACATAAATGGTCATTTTTTAAAAAAGCAATATAGTGTTGGATGAGTGGATAAAAAAGCTGTGGTACATTTACACAATGGAATACCATGCAGCAGTACAAAAGAAAAATCTCTTACACTTTGAGACATCATGGATGGACCTGGAGGGTATTATGCTAAGCAAAATAGCTAGTCAGAGAAAGACAAGTATTACATGATCTCATTCATTATGTGGAATCTAATGAACAAAATAGATCCAGACACACAGAAGCATGGAACAGACTGTTGAACCTCAGGGAAGGCAGGGAAGTGTGGGTGAGTGAGAAGAGATCAACCAAAGAACTTGTATGCATATACCCATAGACACAGACAATAGGGTGGTGAAAGCCTGGAGTGGGGGACGGGGGAGGGCTAGAAGGGGTCAATGGG